ATGTGCTCTCTGGCCTACATGTACCTCTTTCACCAAACCAGCAAGACGAGTCAGACGACTCCAAGTTGTTGTAGAGATACTCTCTGAACACCCTCTCCGCTTACACCCTGCGTCCCCTTTACTCTGGTATATGTATCATCTTTCCATTCCCCCTGCATACAATGTACTCTGCCTCTCCCCAATCCTCTTTTTCTACACTTCCCCACTCTCTGGTGCATTGAAGTGTCGCTGAAGCGCAGACCTCAGGTCAGCGGAGATACTCAAATTTCACCACCACAGCTGCGACGGCATACAATCATCTCTTTCATGCGGTATTCTGTTCTTGATGTTTGTTATTTCTCGTGAAAAAAAGGGAGAGGAAAAGATATTGGCATAAACCCTCCATATCGAAAGAAATATAGTGAGTGCAATCGTACCACGACACCCATGGAACAATATGTAAGGATTTGAATGTCGTTTTCATGTGATTGCCATCATAAATCGTCATCACACTGAGAGTTGGACTAAAAAGGAAAGCTTTAAAGACTACTTCAGTACCTTTAGAATATTAATGCTTCTTGTACTAGTTTTAGATCTAATCATGTTCACTGTATGCTACCATGTATACCGTATATCTTCCTTTTGTAGTCCAACTCTCAGTGTGATGACGATTTCTGATGGTAATCACATGAAAACGACGTTCAAATCTTTACATATTATTAGAGAGTTTACGCTTAACGTTTTTTCAATTTCGAACGTGAGATCTCACGGTCAAAATGGCGCATCTCACATTGCAGCGTGAGATTTCAACGCGACAGAGGGCCATCTCACTGTGAAAAAAGCGATTCAACGCACGTTTTTTCTCACGTTCGAAAACAACGTGAAGCGTAAACTCTCTATTGTTCCATTGGTGTCGTGGTATGGGTGCGCTCATTATATTTTAACTCGGATACTGAGCCGGTAATAAATGTAAAAAAAAGAGGAGAAAACACATGAGAACGAGTCATTCAGCAACTGTCCACGACTGTAACACTGAAGATGATAAACAGTCACAAAGTGAATAGGGCACAAAACTGACAGGCTGTTGGTTTGCGCACTGGAGCCTCTGGAGGTGTGTTAGAGCTACAATGTAAGGCTCCTGTCGCTGAATATCTCAGTAGCCTGTCAGTTTTGTGCCCTATTATCGCACTTTCTGACTGTTTATCATCTTGTTACAGTCGTGGATAGTTGCTGCATAACTCGTTCTCATGTGCTTTTTACACTCACAAAATTTCTTTCGATATTAGATTTCTTGTCTCCACGCAGCCTTTATAAACCCTCCAGATAGCTGTTTCCAAATGAGCCAGCGCACGCGAAAAGGGCTAGGGGGCTAACGTACTTGCACTTGAAACTGTCAAAAAGCACTTCAAAGTTTGACGTGCGCTTTTTGCGTGGATTTTGAAGTTGAGTCGCTGCGATTCTGTATAATCTCGCGCGTTTTCGCAATTTTGCGCAGGTCGATGACACAAGAATGGGGTTGACGGTCTAAGCTTTCCACCAGTCTTTAGATTTTGCAAATCGGTCCTCGCGTTGCTGAGATTCATTTGTTTGAAGCTGCGCTTGTTTTCTTGAGAGAGCTTCTTTCTCAACAATTTTTTCTCGCTCTTGCCATGAGTCGAAGAATAGTCTTCACTGTCGATGAAGCTCTTGCTGACGTGCTCAGGGAGTGCGAAGATGAGTTTCATGGCGATCCTGAGAGTAGCTCTGTCGCTCCACTTCAAGATTCTGGTCAGGAAATTGCTGAACAGGGCGTAGAATCGCAAGTAACATAGTTGACACTGACGACGCAGACTAACTCCACTACCTCAACTCCAGGGTGAACAGCGATGTTGTAACAGCGAACTACCTGCATGTAGAGCCTCAAAGCGACTCTGATGAGGCTGGAGTTATCGCTGATGAAGAAAATCTAACAGTGGAAGACGAAGCAATAGTGGAGAACGTCCCTGCTGCTGCTGCTGCTCCTGCACCTGAATTTGCTCAGCTCCAGAATTGTGGATGCAGCAAGAACTGCCTCCGTAAGTTTGACAGAGTAACTCTTGAGCAGTCAACACTAAACATGAGGGAAATGGAGAAAAGTGAGAGCGATACCGTGCTATTGGGAATTTTGGAGTCCTGCCGCCACAATACCAGTCAGAACGCGCATGGGGGAAAGCGTCGCCGCGAGTCCTTCGCCTACAGCTTCCAGGGTGTCGAGGTGTGTGTTGGTGCGTTTCGCTACGCGTACGACATCGGCAAGAAGCATTTGTATGGTCTGCAGCAGCACCTGGAGAAACACGGACTGGTGCGGACTGGTGCCCAGGGACCATGGCAATACAGGCAGGCGACCACATAATGCGCTCCTGTACGCTAACGTGAAGAGATGCGTTCAGTTCATCAACAACCATGCAGAAGTCAACGGCATTCCGCATCCAGCCCCGCTGCGTGGACGTGATGATGCTCCTCCAGTGTTCTTGCCTGCTACCCAAACATACAAGAGCGTACATGCCTTGTACAAGGAATCTTGCGCGGCAGCCCAAGTTGAGATCATCGGTGAATCATCGTTCCGCTCCATTTGGGTCGACAATTACCTGGTACGAGTGGGACCGCTTCCTGCCCGACTTCTTCCGGCCAATCCCAGCCGTGAGCCAGATGCACCAGTTCACCTTCGCTGCTGCCACACCAGGAATGGTTGAAGTGCATTGGCGGAAACAGTGACTCTGTTGACATCCTGAAGACCACCGTGCAGGCAGTGCAAGATGCAGGCTTACCACCGGTCATTGCACCTGGAGGTATGAGCAGAGCTCGTCGCCAGTACTTGCACAAAGAAATCCGTCCGTTTGTGCAAGAGCAGTTCAGGGATGACCTATGCCCACCAGTCAGTGACTAGACAATTAGAGAGCCGTAACTGTACAGTTCTAATCGTGTGCTCTTCTGTAACTGTACAATATTCACACCATGTTGCCGATGAACACAATCGCGGAAATTGGCTGCTTACGGGCCACGACTGTGCATGTGTGTGGTCTTAGTCGAAAATGCTGATTATGCCTCTTCTGTGTTGGTCCAAACTAGGCATTAAAGTGCACTCTGTACATCATGAATATGCTTCAAATGCTTCATCAAGAAAATAGTGTCAGCGTATGTACAATGTCTAGAACAGACAATCATTTTTTTCTTTGCACCGCAAAGTGCGATACTTGCCAACAGACCACCTGGCACTAAAACACCTATAACATTGCAACGAAAAGAGATTTTTTGATGCGGTTTTTTGCAAAAGATTTCTGAAACATGTTGGAGTAACACTAGATAGTCAGCTCGAAATGTCAGATTTTAGAGGTTAACCCCCTTTTCGCATGCTCTGGCTCAAATACAGTATTCAGCATGTTATTATTTTCAAATTGCTAGGACTTTTGCGCCTACAGTACCACACGAATCCATGTGGCAGACTGGCTGTTAACCTTCGTGCATGTGTTATCACTTTATCTTATCACGGTTACATTTACCTGTTACCTCAAAGCGCCAATCGCGCTTCTTCATTTTAGCAGTTGTTCTCGGTATAGAATACGTGTACCGGTACATGTATTGCTCTTCACGTAGTAATACGTGAAACCCAGAGTTGTGACAAAGCTTCCAATCTCTCTTGTGTAGTGCTGTTCATGTGCTCTCACTATGCAGTAGTCTTTTAAATTACTAGTAACTTTCACTCATGAGATCTGTATGATCCAAGCAGTTGTCTGGAGAAGTCTTTACTAATAATAATCTGCAACAACTACTTGGAGTCGTGTCGCAGATTTGGTTAATGAGGTTGGTCGGAGAGCGCATGTGATGGTGGGAGTTTGAATGGTGGGAGTTTGAACTCAGATCATGACAGATGAGCGGACCAAAAGATGCTGCTTACCCTCTTGACATGAATCGCTCTCGAGTCTCGACTGTTCTAATGATTGTACCAAGCAAGTCTACTCGTCTCTGTTGGCTTCAGTGACCAACCTTTAAACAACAACAACAATACCAACAACCTACGGGAATAAAGATTTCAAACCTAGCCAACTGCTTAGATAACATCTCCTACTTCTTGTATTGACTGTATGGCCTGGCCGGACTGTATGGCCTGACTGTATGGCCTGGCTGTATGGCCTGACTGTATGGCCTGGCCGGACTGTATATAATCATGTACAGCACTTCGTCTTGGAGGTGAGACATGATAATTGTGGGGAAGTGCACAGGATCTAGGAGTGTGAGCGCACCTCTTGGCACCGGAAGTACAGCTCGCTCGATTCAACTCGATTTCTTTTGAACGCCCAAAAAACGCATAGCATGTCCAGAGAGCTCATTTTGTCCATGTAAAGAAGGTGGCAATGCCTGTTCATTCTGGTCCGCCGACGTACTGCTACCATGGCTACAGACAGTGCTGCTCAATGAAATCCAGTTCCGCCACTAGGCATTGGCGGATAATGCTCGAAAAGGTGGCAGATTTTGCTCGAAAAGCAGTGAAATTGGCAGAACCATACAAACCTTATGGCGGGCAATTCCTCGAATTCTGCTCCATTTTTTTATCCACATACCAAACATGCATGAAACTTACCAGAAAAAGTACTGCCAATTTTTCTGCCGGCATTATCCGTAAAGGCCTACCCCCCCCCCCCCCCCCACACACACACACACACACTCACTTGCGCCTTGCACCATTTCGTAGCCCAGTCGCGGCCAGTGTTCAGGTCTAGGGCTGCGCAATGCCCGGCGCATACTGGAGTGACTCGACTGGAGTAAGAAAGGTAAAGTAAGTTCACACATCCACGTTACCTGTTACCACCGACTTGAATTTTATGAGAAGTACACCGACGTAACCGTCACCACTAGTACTGGCACTAGTGGAACTATGCCAGACAGTACAGTGGGCATGGGCTGCAGGATGGCACATAAAAGTCGTTACTATGGCTGTTGCCATGGGCGCTAACACATCGGTGCAAGCTGAGCGCAGGGTACAAAATCACTCATCACTCGCGTGCTCACCCCACACTCACCATGCGCTCACCGGCAGTGATCAACCGTGAGTTCTTCCATAGAATCTTGATCCAAGCGTTACTTTGGACAGGGGAGTAAAACCCGACTAGGCAAGCAAGCTAGCTGGGAAGGCCCCAGGGAGAACTGATTCACCTTGACTGCAGGCCAACAAAAATAAACATTGAGACATTGACGATGATTTGTTGCCTCCTAATCCCATTCCTGGAGATTTAGCCCACCATGCTACGTGTTGACTATGCTGTAGCTATCCCGAGCTAGTAACTAGTGATTCTAACCTTTTCAATAAGATTAGTGCAGTTTTGCAAGGATGGTGTATTTGAATTGAGCAATTTCTCTACCATCACCGAGTAGAAAGTCGAAGAGCGAGAAAGGTAAACAAACATCGTAGCGCTGAAAATAGAAAGTAATTATTGGTTGAGCTCCCTGGATTCTCGAGTCGCATCTGGAAGCTTCTGCAAGTCCTCTTGCGTCCACGGATACTAGTAAGATTTTGTTGAAAAGCTGGAGCGTTGAGTGAGTAGGAATGGCGGTGGCTCTGGACGCGCTAGTCGACTTGGCTGTCGGTACCAACCCGCAATCACAAATAAACGTGCACAATCTGAACGACTTGCTTCATTCTATGGTACGTTGGTTAGCGGCCAGCGGGCAAGGTGGTTCGTCGGAGGCAGCCGCGAAGCTTCCTCCACTGCTCGACAGCAGTGGAGCGATCCATGGACAGAGCAGCAGCGGAACTGCTTCAGCAGTTGGTGGCAGTGGTACGTCCGATGGTGCTACTGGTGAAGCCGGTATATCTGTTGGTGGAGGTAGTGGTGGAGGTAGTGATGGTGCTGGCGCAGGGCCACCATCATCATCAGCAGGCGGGGGTGCAGTAGGTCGTGAAGGTACTCCTGGTGGTGCAATAGACTCTGGTGTCAACTCACCCTGGCTGTATGCATTATCTGAAGGAGAGGTGCGTAGCATGGAAAACAAGCTAAACACACTGGAAAGTCGTCTGGACACATTGAATTCCCTAGATGAACTGCAGCGGAGGGCGGCCGATGGGGCAACTCCACTAGCCGATATGTGGAACTTCTCTACCATAACACGGCGACTGGAAGCAGCTGAAGCCGGAGTTGCTAAGGTGAGACAGACCGCTTGAACTGCATACTTGTGGAGGTTTATGTATGGTCATATACACCACCACCACCACCCACATCCCCACTAGCACTTGGCGGATATTGTCCGCAAAAATCATGTTTTCTACGGTAGTTTGGGATTATCCACTGAGGGTTCAGTCCCGAAAGGATTCCCAAATACATGTAGGTCAATCCCCAATGATATCAAAGCGATGAAGAATTCAGTACAGATTAAAACAAATAGAGTGATTGTTTTGAAACATTGGTAATCAACCGCGTAGTGCCTAGCATGCTATCAAATCTCATTGGCAAGTCTCGCCGATGTTCAGTTATACAGCAGTGTTGCGAATGCTGTTATTGCTGTGTTGTTGTGTACATGCTCCTAACGGTTGCACTGCACATGGCAGGTGTGTGCCATGATGGACGAACTAGCCAAGGAGCTCAGTTCCATGCGTCAAAGGAATACTGAATCAGACAAGAGGAGTGAAGAAGTGAGTAGTAGTCAGTGGTAATTATGTGAGGATAATTCAAGATATCGTATACTGCATAATGCCTTACATGTATGTACCCAGCACACATAAACCATTTGTGCATATTGATGTTGCACCGCTACAAGCGTTTAGCCACTAGAGCATAGCCATAGTATCAGCCACCTGCAACAGCAAGCTATGATCAAGTTGCTATGGAGGTATTGACACTATTATTCCCTGTACAATGGCGTGGGAATGGGAGCATAGATTTGTGTCATGGTTGATGAACTATCAGTCTTTTTTAGGAAATGCTGACTGGAGACCTGGAGTATAGCCCATCAAAATAAAAATGTAATCTACACATGTACATGTACAGCAGCAGCAGTACAGCAGCAGGTGGTGACTCAGTTGTGTGCATGCGCATATGTGTGTGTGTGTGTGTGAGTTGCTGCCGATGGTTCCGTAGTAAGGGTGGGCTTGCAGTTCATCGCTGCCAGCCTGCACTCCCTGAACATGCAGATACGGCATTGACGGCGTCTCTCGCTAGTTGCTGCTTCCAGCATTGTCAACGCTGCAATCGCTGCTTCAAGTCCCGGGCTGGTTTTAACCGCCATAACTGCAACCGTGGAAAACGTCTTGCTGCAGCCGATAGGGAATCACTGCCGCTGATCTGCATGCATTGCCCGAAACGTTTCCGACGACAGCAAGATTTGACGAGGCACCAGAAGTCCTGCCAATGACGGTGCACTCCAAACTCTGGCCCCCTCCGGGGGTGACATTGCCCAATGGGCAGTCATGCTATAGTAGTAGTAGTAGTAGTAGTGTGTGTGTGTGTGTGTGTGTGTGTGTGTGTGTGTGTGTGTGTGTGTGTGTGTGTGTGTGTGTGTGTGTGTGTGTGTGTGTGTGTGTGTGTGTGTGTGTGTGTGTGTGTGTGTGTGTGTGTGACTGTGTGACTGTGTGTGACTGTGTGTGTGTGTTTTGCTCTGTGCTCAGATGTCCAAGAGACTGTCAGACATGTCAGATGAACTAACACTACTCCAAGGCAGTGATAGAGCCGGTATGCTATTCTGGTCAACAACACTCACTCCCTTGGTTGAAGACCATGGTAGATTCAATACAGGAATGATGGTCAAATTTTACTTGAAATTGGCAGGGCGCTTTCTTCCGAAGCAAAGATACACACCCAATAAGGAAGGAGTATCGTGGCCTGTTGAGAATGTTACGTGTATGATGGTGGTCACAGCAAAGGAGACTGGAGTGCTGTGTTCATGAGATATTCACTACTGAATGCATGCCCGGATATGGGGACTCTGAGCGGGTGATGCGACTGTGTGCACTCAAAGGCATGCTGTGGAAGTATACAATTCTCTCCGTTGCAGTAATGTTATTGGATGAGTAAAAGTTTGAAAAACGTGTAACGCAAGTCTTCCTCTTGGCGCTCAGTCGAATAATTTTGGTGAAAAGGATCTGTGATTCAGTGTTTTCCTCCAATTACTTTCACAGTAGCTCAGTGCCTCCTCTGTGTTTCCCTGTAATTCTGCTGCTGGTTCAAAATCCAGTCTATTCACATCACCTCCAGTGTTCAAGTATGGCATCAGTCAATGATATCAACACCTAAGTGGTAGAGGTGCAACAACACATTCACCAGAAGACAACACATTCACCAGAAGACAACACATTCACCAGATGGGTGCTGTGCCCCCCCCCCCCCCCCCCCCGCTACAGTAGCAAGAACCCTACATTACCACAGTGTAATTGTTGTACAAGGTTTTGAAATCATCCTACACGGTTTACTGTGCATGCTTGTGTGTGGTATGGGGAGGGGGCTGTTAAATGTTCCTGCTCCCACCATGTTGTGCATAGCATAATGGAAATGGCGTGACCGATGAAAACAAGAGTTCCAATGAACAGACGATTTGTCTATCACTGCTTTGCTTTTCTTGTTCAGATTCAGGTGCTAGAAACAAACTGCAGGACATAGCTGATGAACTGAATGCACTCAAGGTAATTGAAAAGTAATGTGTTTGTGCGTATGTCACTGTGCATGGGAATTGATGTGGGAAAGAGAGAGAGGGAATGTGTGTGTGTGTGTGTGTGTGTGTGTGTGTGTGTGTGTGTGTGTGTGTGTGTGTGTGTGTGTAAGCGTCGTTGGAGAGATGTGGCAGCTTCAGACTGCGTGCGACCGGTATCCCGGAGGCGCAATGGTACCACCTTGCTCAGGACCGGAGGGACTGGCGCGACCTTAGCCGTCGGAAGCCACCAAGCCAGCCCCAACCAAGAGTGTTCGTCTGTGTCTGCGGCCGCGACTTTCGCCGTCCGAATGATTTACCCCGACACAAAAACTACTGCCTCGACTACTAGCTATCATCGCCTTTGGCGATGGGCTTTCCAAAGCTCCAAAGGTGTATAGGAAAGGGCAGAATAATTTGACTAGCAGCCTACAGAATGTGAAGGCGGAGTGTAAAGTCCTCTCGAATCAGGATACTTGAAAAGTTGACAGATGCCGCATTGTGCAATGTGTTGGTTTTTGCCGTTTCTGTCCATCACCCTTTAACCATCCCACATCCTTTTCTTGTGTGTGTGTGTGTGTATGTATGTATGTGTGTGCGTGCGTGCGTGCGCGCATATGTGCATGTTCACAGACTGATGTGAATGAAAACTTTGCAAAGTGTGAGGACTTGGAGGACCTAGTCACCTGGCAAGCACTGGAAGACTGCCTTAAGGCACGTATTCCCGACCCTTCTACGGAAAAACCAACACTACAGCCAACCACCCGTCAAGAACGGGTGAAAAGTGCAAAGAAGGCATCGCCATCTCATGAAGCCATGGAGGCACTGCAGCAAGTCGGCGCTCTTACCGGCAAGCATGATTCGCTTGTTGGTAATGTAACTGACTTGGAGGTAAGTTAAATGCCGTTCGGATTATCATAATCATTGTAATGCTACATGGCATGATTGGATGATGTGATTTCCCCAGTTTTGCCCCCAATTCCAATTTCCCCAGTTTTGTCCCCAATTCCATGCCTATCAGAGTAAAAAAATTAAGGAAATACCATCCTAAAATGGTGTTGATGGGTTCCTCCACAGCTGAAGAAGAACTACAAAAATCAGATTTTTGAAGTTTGGGCTATAAATTTGGAGGATTTGAAATGACGCTTTGCCTATAAATAGACATGTGTTTTTGGCAGCATATCAGTTCTAGTTTGAGGCGTTAGGCACAAGCACTGAAATGACTCGTGTTGCCCTCAGTGGCTGCAATGTGACCACACCTGACTTTGGGTAGTGGTCCTACCTCACAGAGCTACAACTGAAGAGGTCTGCTTGCAGTAATGATAAATATCACAGTGCTGTGAACAAGCTAGGGCAAGTGACAAATTATTAAAATGATATCACACGTCGAGCTTTGTGAAATCACTGCTCAAAGTGAGCCCCTTGGGTAGCTAGGCATCTTAGGCTGTACATAAGTAATGCTCTTGCACGTTAGATGCGTTTATCGTGATACCTCTGCTGCAGTTTAATGTTGCTGTACATGTAATCTTGTTTGCGCATTCTGGGATACTTTTCTGATCTGACTGAGATATTGTGTTCTGTTCTGCTAGAATGCCCTGGCTGGCAAATTGACGGCAGAGGACATAGCCAACTTAGCACCCAAGGAGCACATTGAACTTGTTGCTGACCTGCAGGCAAGAGTCCTTGCCCTGGAAGGTAACCACCGCTTACGCTTAACTGGCATTACGAGGAGTCAAGTTTGCACAACACACCACCCTTTGTTTATATTTTGTCTGTGTAGGTGTTGTAGTATCGGTCGGTCCTATAATCGGTGCATGGAGTGATTGCGCTCTGGCTGTCCTTATAGACACTGACAGATTGTCTTCCAGTTGAGGCTGAAATGTATGTAACAACATGGTCGGGGTACTGATATAACTGGTCTCATAAGACAGGTGGTCTCTTGACAAGGTGGTTGCTCCACACAGGTTCTTCTGTGCGCACATAGCCTCAACCGCAAGCCCATCATTAATAAATGAAAAGTGACCTGCACTATCCACAGGGGGTGACTGAGTACATGCATCATACCAATGCTTTGTTTTGTACTTGCTTGGTGTTCTGTGCTGCAGATCAGAAAGGAGAGTTCTCTGCTCTAAAGGAACTAGTCGACCAGATCAAGCAAACCACCGATGAAGCGTCAGCTTTAGATTCAGAGAAGGTAGGATGGTAGCCAGGGACACACGAAGCCCAGATACTGGCACACGCGCACCACTCTGCAGTGGCATTGTGTGCCTGAAGGGATGCTTGCCCGCAGGGGATGAAGCACCTGCATGCGTGGTCCATGGGTATTTCGAGCTGGCCAATTCGTAATGCGGCCATCGCTAGCTTGCGCTTAGCGATGCTATGTTGTGCTTGGCAACCACAGTGCATAATCCAGGAGCACTTGTCCGTTGGCTTATGCATTCACTCAAATACCCTATGCGTGGAAAAGAAAGTTGCTATGAATACACCAAGTTCAATGCAGGAAGTTCACAGTGGTTAGGAAAAATCTGATCAGTCAGAAAGCCTGGAATTGACAGTTCACTCTGCCTGGCCTTTTCAGCACTTTGATGATGTTGATTTGAAGCAGTAGCAAAGTTGTTCATGCTACATCATGTGAGACATGTACTGGGACTAATGCATTTCACCAGCCTCGCCTTCCTGCCGGTGCTAACATCTACATGTATTTGTATTTCAGTTGGCGAATATCTTGAACAGTCACAGTGCAAACGAGCAGCTGATCAAGGACATGGCCTCTCAGATGGGAATCCTACGCGACCAGCTCTCCGTTCTGGAGAAGACAGTGGATGCCCTGCAGAATGCGGCACTACAACAGACGGGCCCTCCACCCACTATTGTAAGTCATTCATGATGATTGTATTAAGCTGTTTACTTTGCTGTGGAAGAGCATGCATGCACCCATGCAACTGCCACAACCATGGTCATACTTCCTAGCTGTGTATGTATCCACAAGACTTTCGTGGAGAAGGAAATAGGTTGAGAATGCTGTTTTAGGGTCTGGTGATGCCACTGAACTCTGTGAGAGTGTTTATAGTGGTTCATAGCTGCTGTGTATGTGTCTATGCATACATCTGCTCATCCAGTATTCTTTCTGTTTTCTAGGACGGGCATCAATTTTGTTCATCATCCGAGTCCATACCATAACTACATGTATATGTTGAGTTAGAAACAGGACGACTGACGACACATTATCCAGACATTACAACGGGAACAGGTAGGTTGGGGGAACGACATTTATTATAGACGACGAGACAAGAGACCAAGACGAACGAAACGACTACTTGAAGTACATTGAAGAGTGAGAAAAGAGAGAAAGAGATCAAGTCTGAACGGCAAGATAAAGGGCCTGGGTAGCTATGGCAAATATGGGCGCGCAAGTAGCTACCCAGGCCAATGGAACAAAAGGAGACAAAAGGTGAGTACGCAAGTGCATGCAGGCCAGCTAGAAAAGGTACGGCCTAACATATATAACACTGTTCTATTTATTTTCTGGTGCTTGCGAATACTCTCGGCATGCTGTGTGGATTTCCTAACAGGATCCAGAGCTGATCGAAGGCTTCCGCTCACAAGTCACCGGCATGAAAGATGAGCAGCAGTTGCTACATGATGCACTGAAGGAATTACTGCGCGACGTGACTGAAAACAAGCAGCATGTTCAGGTTGGTACTGGGTCGAACTTGCATGCCAGGAGTGAATGAAAGGCAGCCACACACAGTCCATCACACCGGGTTGACAACACGGGCACACGATAATGCAGCAATGCCATGCACGCAGCTCTGTACAAGATAATGCTGCAATACCATGCACGTAGCTCTATGTTACTGCATGGAAGCATTCATCATTAAGTAAATGATAAAAGCAAACTGTCTGAATACAGCTATTGCACACCTATCCCGTGACCTGCATACCGGGCAGCCATGTTGGCTCCAACTCCGCTCCATCCCGGCATCTATGGGTCATGTGATGATGTTGGCCATGGTGGTTCCCCTGCCAACATGAATCAGTTGTAGTTCCTAAATGGACTTAAGTAGACAATCATAGAGTTCTGGCAGGACTTTATGGCTGAATCAAGGCCGAGTGCATACGGCCAAGGGCGCAGGCCAAGGCGCGTTGCGCCGAGGCCTGCGCCCGCGGCCGTGCGCACGAGGCCTTGATGAAGGCTGAAAGTCCTGCCAGAACTCTATGATCGTGTTTCAGGTTTCCACTTACATCCTTTGAGTCGCGTAGATCTAGATGGTATACTAGTATTAGTAACTATAAGCGCGATACCACAGAGGGGTGGACGGGGACGTGGTTGCTAGACCTGTTGCTTTTTTCCTTTGCACAAGAACAAGTAGGTTGGTCGGGGACGTTGTGGCTACACTATCACTCCTTTGCTGACACGCGATGATCTTATCAATTTCCGTCTACATCAGTACATGAAGGCGTCGTGCATACAGCGCTACGCGCCTTGGCCTGCGCCCGGGCCTTGGCTTAGGCCTGGCCGTAGATCTACGCTCATCGGAGTCATGGTCAGGTTTACACTTCCGTAAACTGTATATAAGCGCGACACCACCTAGGGGTGGAGGTCGGGGACGTGGCGGCCGTATCTCTTGCTTTTCTTTTCTTTCCCAAGAAGAAGTAGTTGCAGAATTGCCAAAGCTCATGCGTGCGGCCGTGCGTACGGCCGCGGGCGCAGGCCTCGGCGCTACGCGCCTTGGCCTGCGCCCTTGGCCTTGATTCATGGTCAGGTTTCACTTGCGAACTGTATATAAGCGCGATACCACCTAGGGGTGGAGGTCGGGGACGTGGTGGACGGATCTCTTGCCATTTTTTTCAAAAATTTACTTGGCCTTGATGAAGGCTCAGGTGAACGAAGTCTCTTGCTTTCCTTTTCTTTCCCAAGAAGAAGTAGTTGCAGAATTGCCAAAGCTCATGCGTACGGCCAAGGGCGCAGGCCAAGGCGCGTAGCGCCGAGGCCTGCGCCCGCGCGCGCTTGATTCATGGTCAGGTTTACACTTGCGTAAACTGTAAGCGCGATACCACCTAGGGCTGCTTTTTAATTTGGTGAAGAAGAAGAATGTTTTGAATTGTTTTCAGGTTGTAGCTGTTTACTTTCGACACTCCTTCACTGACACACGTACAAACCTGTTGTCAACATTTACCGCCATTACCTGGTGAAGAACTTGTTACCATGCTAGATCATAGAATACTGGATTGCTTACTACATGTAGCCACATTTGCTACCTTACATCACAGTACTTGTATGTAAATTCCATCAATGAACAGAACTGAGCATGACGTCATGTCTACAGGCATGCCCAATCTACATGTAGACCCGGTTTTAACCATGACTATTGTACTTTACTCCCCAGCAAAGGTCCTTCTTGACCCACGTTCTTCTTCACCTTGTCGCAGGACGGACACAACAGACACCAGCAACTTAGTTCAGTCAATGCCTTCTCTTCCAGTGTGTTTGGTGGTTTATTAATTTGTTTGACATTCCCGTGCGAATCCGGTACACTGTTGATTATGGAGCCTGCTGCAAAGAAGAGATTTTTGTCCGCCTCTGACGGTGATGTTGCGGAAATTTTGACCTCCAGGGTTCCCAAGTCCACGAAGGACACGACATCCACGTGGCTGTCTATGTTCGAAAAATGTCTCAAGGACAACAATCTGAAATGCGACCTGCGGGACTGCAGCCGGAAGGAGCTGAACAATGTGCTCTGCCGTTGTTACATTTCAATGAGACGGAAAGACGGCGGCTATTACCAAGAGCCAGGGTACCATGGTTTCCGGGCTGCCATCCAGCGGCAATTGACATGCCACGACCGACAATTCAACGTACACACTGACGTTGAGTTTCAGAAATCGAACGATGTTCTAGATGGCGTGCTGAAAAGGAACAAACGTGAAGGCCACAGCAATCCTGTCCAGCACAAAGATCCCATCACAGACATTGATATGGACAAGATATCTTACTTCTTCGACAGAAGCAAAACTGCAGAGAATCTGACCAGACATGTTTGGTTTTTCACAACACTCCATCTGGGCCTCCGTGGTCGCGAGGTGCAGCGCAAGATAACTAAGGCCGATGTTGAATTTGGCACCGATGCCCATGGCGATTTTGCTCGCCTCTCCGCGGACTTCGCTACAAAAAATTACCAAGGCGGGCACGGATCTGCTCGTCGCGACGCCGGTGCTGGAAAGATAACGGACCAAGCCCAACTGCTGTCATTGCGGATGATGATGGAACACCTACACCCGGACTGTCCTGCTCTTTTCCAAAGAGCGAAGCAGAATTATGCCACCAAAGAAAAAGTATGGTTTTGAAACTCGCCTCTCGGCAAGACTACTCTCGGTAACATGATGCCCGACATTTCCAAGGCCGCCCAATTGACACAGATATACACTAACCACTGTCTACGCGCTACCGTTGTGTCGATGTTGTCTGGTGAGGGTATTGAGCAGCGTCAAATAATGGCATTGACTGGCCACCGCAACTCCAACAGCCTGGCATCTTACACGCGGCCGACAACCGCACAAGAGAGAACTATGTCTCACATACTAGATGGGAAGAAGAGAAGCGAAGGAGCGCACAGCAGCACCGGAAAGGCCAACACCGCACAGCCTGATTCGGTGCCCTTAACTGAGGTGTTCCCTGAATTCACAGATACGGAGATCGAACTGCTGTTTAGGGACTGGGGCAACACCTCGACACCCAGTGTCACACCAGGTCACAAGGCAGCCAGCAGCAGCGGTGCAGGTCCTCTTCCTGCAACCACCAGCATTAGTGCTCCACTGCCAGCAGCCAGCAGCGTCAGTGCTCCACTGCCAGCAGCCAGCAGTGTCAGTGCTCCACTGCCAGCAGCCAGCAGCGTCAGTGCTCCACTGCCAGCAGCCAGCAGCGTCAGTGCTCCACTGCCAGCAGCCAGCAGCGGCAGTGCTCCACTGCCAACAGCCAGCAGCATCAGTGCTCCTCAACGAGTCTCGTTGCAGCCACAAGAGCCAGACAGGCAGACATGCGATGTCATCGACAGTTGGATCCAGAAAGCAACTGCAACGGAGTTGAGACAGATAGAAACTCCTCGTCCGCAACAGTTCTTCCAGGGAGCAAACTTCCAGGGAGCTAATATCACATTCAATTTTAATGTCAAATAGTTCTTCAGGCTTAAGAATCGCTGCCAAAGGTGGCACTTTCCGTAAATTGTAACCGACTTCAAGTGTGATCAGAACAATAATCGTGCAGTCGTTGCACAGTCAAAGATCGCATGTCCACAGTGGAATGTGACATGTGAACTGAGATGGCAACGGAAAACTGACGCAGACCCCTGCACTGTAGAGCTAGGCTGACAGCGTGCGGGCCTTTATCGGCTCATCAAGGCCACCGCGGGAACGTCGCTCATTGGCTACGACCATGGAAACGGCACTGTAGAAACCTGAATACAGTCGACCTACCCTTATAACGATAACCTCTATAACGATATTACCCTTATAACAATATTTTTCTGCCAAACCAAATCACTCCATTGACTTGTGTGTACAATGCCTTACCTCTATAACAATATTGCTATAACGATATTACCCCTATAACGATATAAATGGGCTGACCAATCGACATTTTCCATTTTATAACAATATCTAGCAGGGAATATGTAGAGCCCACTATCCAGGTAGGCTAAGCTTCACTTGATAAGTCGCTGGGACATGACGAAATACAATGGGGGCACCAGTGGTCACCTTGCTGTGTACATAATGTGCATGTAGGACAGTTTATTAAGCTACGAAGAGTGTAAAAAATGAACAAAATCCGTGTATTATGACGTATGTGTATGAAATGAACCGGTTACCCCTATAACAATATTACCCTTATAACAATATTTCTTGGTCTGACACAAATATCGTTATAAGGGTAGGTCGACTGTAGATGATAAATACGTCGTTGGACTACTTGGAGATTGACATTGCTTTTTAAAAGCCGCAGGCTGTAACCCTAGGTCTCAGCTAACCTCTTAGCCTCCATGCTATTGTTTGTCTGCTTTACAGCAACTCTACCAAGGAGTGGAGAGTCTAGAGGGTATGAAAGCAGACAAGGAGTTTGTTACCCTGGAAGTTGAAGAGGTATGGTGTGATTCTACCAAGATATAAATCAACGTACGGTAGGATATTGAAGGTGTTCTACAATGTGTATGGTGGATGACCGCCTAAATTGATCCTATTACTTGGCAAAACTGTTCACCTTCACACAAGCAAAGAGAAGCTGCAGCAAAGTTTTCACCTCCCTAATAGTATACTGTCAGAAGTGTGTAGAGTCATTCAAGCTCTTTTCGCCGAAACAGCATGGTGGTGGATGTGACGGTGACATATCCCGAATAGTGCGTTCCCCTTTTCACTGGCTGTGTCTATGCAATGACACATGGTACAGCACATAACGTTATACTGGTAGAGCACTGCGTGATCTGTGCATGGTAGTACATGATCAGCAGAATTAGAATCACTGCACAGAAATAGCATGCAAAAGGGAAAGTACCTGCTGGGATAAATTGTAAAATGGGCACGGTCAGTATTGCAAATGTTAGCTGATTTTACATTGCGGTAATCTTTGAAACGTCTGAGGATCATGCAGTCGACAGCGAAAGTTTATTCTTCTTTGAGCAGATTACAAGGTGTGGTGCCACTGCGTAGGACTAGGAGGCTTTTTTTGGTGTGGCGTTTCAGGTTTCGATGTCCAAATGTGTGACATATCACTACTCTTTGTGAAAACCTATTGTATTCTACTTGAAGTACCTACATATATCTGCATACACTACGAGAAGAGGAGAGAGACAACTCAGTACCTGCTCACTGTGCACCTTGTTTTGCTGAGCAGAAAGCGGATCGGCAGAGTCTGGATGACAAAGCCAGCCGTGCCTGGGTTGATAATCACATTCATCAGCTCACAGCTGAGATTCTGGAAGCAAAGGACAAGGTCTCTGGACAGGTAAGTTCAAGCTACTTGGAAGTATTTTCAATCCACGAGCATCCAGCCATGGCGCATTCCCACTGGGAACAGAATGGAACAACCTATTTGTTGGGACACCAAATTTCACGCTAAGGTGATCGATAAGCCAGCAATGAAGCATTATCGCAGTGGCAGTACCCCTGCTGTGATACCGACACCTCAGGTCAGCAGAGCCATCAATGCTTCACCATCACTGCTCAGCACGTCTTGGTGTAGCCCCTGCTCAGTACATGTAGTTGTCATGCTTGTCCCAGTCTCAGTACCATTGTCTTTCATTATTATTTTCGAGTTGGGTATGTGAACATGTTAAAACTTTTTTTTAAATACAATGAATCTCACCCCCCCCCCCCCCACACACACACACACATGTATTATAACGGCATGTGTACATTGAATCTCGCCACGGTAAAGTCGGGGAACAGTTAGTATGCTATGGGCTCGGCTTGCCTAGTGTACAGAGGTCATACGTCACCAATGACACAATGTGGTCTTATTAGATGATGGCTGAGAAACTCGTTTTTCCTCTGCGCTTTGTCACTCTAGGATGAAAAGCTTCAAGGTGCTCTGGATCGGTTGACAAATGATGTTGATGGCAAACTGGACCGATTGGAGCTGGAGCCACTCAAGGCATATCTAGGTTGGTCATACATGTACTGTCTCAAAGTAGCAGCCGAGCTAGTTGTTGTCCTGCCATCACATACTGTATGGATGAATGTGCATGGCGTTGATGCTTGACTGGGCTTGTGTATTTACTACAAGTACAATTTAGAGTCCTGGTGGTGACGGTCAATTTTTTCTTCAGACTTTTCCCGTTTGCATCTTTCCCTGAAAGGCTGAAACCCATGAATTTAATTCATGTATAACTGTACTTTGCACATACACGGTGGGTAAGAGTTTCGATCTTTTGCTCACCTTGTCCACTTTAGAAAGCAAGATTCCGAAGGGTGCCCCTGCTGTAGCTGGTGATGGCGGTAAGGGCGAGGAGGGAGACTGGGATGCAGCAGGAATGAGACGGTAAGCCGCTGATATCGTTTGGGAACTTAGCATCTGCAACCTGATGCTCCACACACCAACTAGAAGACATGCAGCGTTCTTTAGCCAGTCATCCAACGAGCATCACTGGGCCAGTGGGGCGGAATCTTCCCTTTGAGACATCACCAAACCCAAGGTTGTCTCTGTCGCATTGCCATGATCAATCAATGAACATCATTAGACAGTCTTGCATGGGCATGAGCATGCACAAACTGCGGAGCTGTGATTCTAAACCAGTGTGGCCGGAGTGTGAAACCATGGCGAAACCTGTTTGGTTTGTGATATGCAGTGCCTCCCATCGCCCTCCCCTCTTGTACTCACTCCTCAAGGCCGTCACAGACGGGGCGGCTGGGGCAGCTGAGGCCGCCCCACTTTTTCGGCCGTTTTTTTTTTTTAGCACATTACAACAAAGCGCGATGATCGCAGCTTAGCGCAAACGTGACAAATCCTTGTCCCCGGTCGTGGTTTGTTGCAGAAAAAAGTCTTTCATTGCAGTTACACTGAAATGGCACCAAATGCCTGGAAATGCTTGCAATTGGCTTCAATTTTTGAATTTTTTTTTCCCGGGGGAGGGTAATGTTTGTCCCCGATCGAAGCGTCTTCTTGGTTTGTTGCAGAATCAAAAAGATTTTCATTGTAGTTACCGTACACTGAAATGGCACCAAATGCCCGGAAATGCTTGCAATCGGCTTCAATTAAATTATATTTTTGAAATTTTTTCACGGGGGAGAACCCCCGAACCCCCCTTCCATGGCCGCCCCACCTCCAAAGTCGGTGTGACGGGCCTGCTTCTGGTCAATGACAATGTGCAGAAGAGCTATGCCAGTTCAGGAGTGCCAATGATTATGTGGAATGATTGCCAGGGCTCATACGGTTTAGTATTTCTACTCAGACATGCCACTGTCAGGTTGCATTGCAATGTTTGTGTGTATGTTTGCATGTGTGAATGCGCATGCGGGTATGTTACGTTGTGTCCAGAGCTCTGCTGAAATTCCACTGCATATCCTGTGATCGACCAGTACTTATGAAAGCTGATGGGTAAGTACAGCTGCGCCTCAAGGCCAATTTCTAACCTCGAGCATGACTAGGTCAATCGCATGGCCCGCTTAGCAGCTCAATATTGGAAGTCACAGTCTGGGGCCACTGGTCGGTTCTAACATACGGGCTTGGGGATGATAATTTCAATAATGTCAAGTATATGTTGTGCTTTGCCTACTTCCAAGCATTCAGATTATATAATTTAAGCAGTGTAATCAGGCCTTCCATCGTCGTCATGTTCCATTCTATGGAGTGAGACGGGTGCTTGTGATATGATAAGAATCTCTGCTCCGCAGTGTGAGTGGTTTAAGTCAAGCTACTCTCCAGTGTGACAAAGGAGTTGTAGCACATCCAGAACAAACAAAACAGATAAGGTGATACCAGCAATCCATGTACCAGGTGTGTCAAGAACTACCCCTTCCGCTTCCAGTACAACAATAGGGACATTAACCCTTTGTCCTTTCGCCCATACTTGAACCGTACACCTGTGTACGGTTCAACCCACGCATGTTCAAAGCGACCTGGAAGCTACGCGGATCACCCGATCCACCTGAAAATTCACGTGCACACAGCCTATGCTATGTAGAGAATGATACACGGGTCGCTGGGGCTAGTTGCCATTTGAAAAATTTCAGGAAATCAAAGTCGAAGTTTGCTTGCGCCGTAACTTCCGACATGGCAGCACGCAGGTGGCTTGATGCAGATGAAGCGCTTGTTTGAGGATAGCTGGAGTGACCCAAGCGACAATCCTATGTCCTCTGATGAAAGAAACGAACTGGACGAAGCCTTAGTTGAAGGTGTTGCTTCTGATTTTGATGACGACGCGGATTATGATGTCGTAACCGTCGACCCAACTGTCGGACATGTCGACTGCTCCGATTTGAGTGCAGGATCTGCAGAACAGCACTCGAGTGGTGAAGAGAGTGTACCACCGCCGTGTCTTACCCGTCGTGGAGCGGCAGGGACAGCTAGAGTGCCGCAGCACGTGGAGCGGGAGCGTAGTCCGATCCCAGAGAGGTCCAGATCTCCGTCACCTGCGCGCCGTCAAACTCATGGTCGACAGCCGCGCAGAGCGAGGAGAGTAGCCGCACGGGGCCGAAATGTCGAGCATGTCGCCACTGGCGCTCCTCTGGCTAATGCTCCGTGTTTGCCCAACATGCCAGGGCTGCTACTCCAGGGCATACTTGTACAAATTGCACATTATTATACATAGGAAAGAACTTGAACTTTGAAATTTTACCGATTTGGCAAAAAAATCATTTTTGATACTCTTGTTTAGCCACGCCTATCTGAGGAATTCAACCCAAACTGCATTTTTAGTTCACAAATATCATAAGCTTTCAGGAAAACATAAAGTGTACATACAAAATATCAGCTGCTTGGGTGTGGTGAGTGGATTTGTTGAAGCAGGTACCCCTCACATACATTTTGGGCAAAAGGACAAAGGGTTAAGCAACATGAAAGTTCGAAGTTTTGGTGGCGGTGATATTTTGCGAAAATATAATTCTTAGAAGAAACACGTCCCTATTATCCAGAAGTGAAGTTGATTTCAGCCTTCTCCATCATATGCACACTGTGCCGCACACTTGATCTTCGGTGTCCATGAATTCATGCTTTACTGAATTCCATCTTGTGCTGTTGATGCTGCATGTGTTTAGACCAGTGAACCCATTGCCAGTGGCCGGCAGTATGCGACCACAGAAGGTGGCATTGCGACCAGCCAACATTCAGGAGTTGGAGGCGATGAGAGAGCAGCAAAGACGATTTGTAAGGTAAGAAACACACTCACTCTTGCAATGAAACGTTTGTGAACGAGGCTACGTCGTGGTAATCAATGTCATTACACATGCAGGCAAGTAGGATGTCCCCACTCAGGAATACCAGACCAGTATGTCTTCTGCCGGTAGAATAACTTACCCAGGTCCGTTTTTAGTATTTTTTTTTAACTTTTTACATTACACTTTTGTATGTTCTTGTAGAGAATGTGTACCATGAAGTGTGTGCATTCGGAAAATGCCGAAAATATTGCTTCCATTATAAAAAAAAAAGGTTCGTGGTTGACCAATGGGAAACTTCCAACTTTTGAATGAGACCAATATGCTGGTGGAAGTGCATGATTGTATACAAGCCACTCAACATATAGCAGTGACGTCATTGATAACCGGTTAATGATCAAGTGCTACTTTGTATCTGTGCGTGCGTGCGCGTGCGCGTGTGTGTGTGTGTGTGTGTGTGTGTGTGTGTGTGTGTGTGTGTGTGTATGTGGTGGTATGTATTTCTGCGTGTGTGCATGTGTGTGTGTGTGTGTGTGTGTGTGTGTGTGTGTGTGTGTGTGTGTGTGTGTGTGTGTGTGTGTGTGTGTGTGTGTGTGTGTGTGTGTGTGTGTGTGTGTATATGTGTATGTGTTGGCCTGTGATGATCAGTGGTCTGCATAGCTATCCGGCATCATCATTCTTGCCATCCCTTCGGAGCTGCGGTGGTGGTCATACACTGACACATCCAACCAGGCGGGCCCGTCTCATTCCTCCCATCACGTAAGCTAGCCTTCGCTCTTCTTCATGAGTAATGAGTAATGCATGGCTTTAGTGACGTCTTTGGTTAGTCGGAAGTTATGGTGGTTGAACGGAGTTGAGCAAGGTGAGATTTCCCCACTGCCTAAATCATGACCTGGTTGGCGCATGGCTGCCCAGGGCACACATGAAGCTTGACAAGCTTTCAGAGCAGCACCAAGACGTCCGAGTCCTTGATTGCAGAAACTTCCTCGGTTCGTATAATTTGACGTGAGAACACTCTACTCGTGTTACTGGCTGGTGAGTATAATGATCGGCTGTAGAGCACATTCAGTGGTGGTGGGAGTATGGTAAAACATGCGTGGCCCTTTTTCTGCGAAAGTCCACTATATTCCCGAATATGTGCGAGAAGTGGTGGCGGGGCCAGGCTGCTCTGCCGACCTCAAAGGTCTCGGCGTCTACGCAGACAAAGCGCGTCATAATGCAGTAAAACCATGAGGAGGGGAGTGTAACAGGTTTAATCAAACTTGAAAAGTAAGAGGCCTGGTTGAGCGTGCCTCGACCAGTTATATGCAAAATGTGATAGTATACATGTGGCAATGGCGCCAATGAAGGTGCTAATAGACAGGCGTAAGACGCACGAGGTGCGAGGGAGTGTAAAGTTATAGAGAACAGGGGAAAACTGTTACATCATCCCCCTCCTATGGAGAGGAAGGAGCTTATAACCCAAATGCTCAAGTGGAATAGAGTACAATAAGCGCAAACACGTGCGAGACGAAAAAAGGCTTCGCACTGAAGTAACACAATAAGACGACTGAAACTCCATGCAAATAAAGTGTAATAAGCTCAACAAATGTGTAAGATGAAACTAGAAGTTCAACTGCAAAACTCAGCGGGCAGAAGCCAAGGTTTTGTACTTCTGAAGTGGAACAATGTCATTACCAGATTCATCCAACAAATAATGTTCAGGCTCCCAAGTGGCATCAGAGTAGCCTTGCCACTTGACTAGGTACTGAAGCTGATTCTGCCGGCGGCGGTGACTGAGAATGTTCTCCACCACATAGCGGGCATGACCATCAAGGTCCGTGATAGGCGGAGGCGTAGGCTGTCTCCTATTAGGAATAGCGTTCTTCTCGTAGGCACGGAGTGCCGACACATTAAATACCGGGTGACAGCGGCTGGTATGAGGCAACTTGAGCTTGTAGGCATTCGGGCCGACCACATGGGTTATAGGAAAGGGGCCAAACCACTTGGGGCGTAATTTATGGGATGGTCGGTCCCGAGCTTCAGGAGTCAGGAGGAAATCCCGGTAGACCATTACCAAATCTCCCACCTTCAGCTTTCCCTCGACCCTTGTCCGATCTGCATAGAAGGCCTGGCGAGCTTGAGCTGCCACTAGCGCATCTTGTGAGATCTTGACCGCGTCTTGTCTTGCTTGCAACCAATCAGCTGAATCTCTGCCTCCCTGAATAGGGTTGAGGAAGTCGGGTGGCGCTCTGGGATTTAGACCGTAATTTAAGAAGAACGGTGTGTTTCCTGTAGATGATTGAGTAGCGCTGTTGATAGAAAACTCACAGAGAGGTAGGAGCATATCCCAGTTATCTTGTTTATGATTTACAAAAGCCCTCAGCACATCCTCTACTATTCTGTTTACTCGTTCAGTTAGGCCATCTGTCTGAGGGTGATTGGCAGTACTAAATGCTAGTTTCGTTCCTAAGCGATCAAACAATTCCTGAAAAAATGCTGCCGTAAATCTTGGATCACGATCACATACAATACTAGAACTCAAACCATGAAGTCGAAATACATGTTGAATATACAGATCAGCACTTCCTTTAGCGTCAATAGTAGAGGAAGTAGGTGCTAAATGTACACACTTTGTCAAGCGGTCTACAAATACATATATAGCATCATGACCTGTATCGGTCCTAGGCAAACCCATGATAAAATCCATCGAGATATCCGCCCACGGCTGACTGGGCACTGGTAAATTCTGCAAGAGACCAGTTTTTAGCTGGCCGCCTTTAACTCGTTGGCAGACGTCACATGACTTGACAAACGCCTTTACATCCAGTCCCATTCTGGGCCAATAGAAATATCTAGCGAGTCTGAAATAGGTGCGATCTCGACCGGGATGCCCCGCAGTCACACAGTCATGGTATTCTTGAAGCAGGGCGAGTCGGAGTTTGCTACTCTTTGGAATGCATAACCTGTTCTGTGGTGAAGATCTGAGATAAAGATAACCGGGTGTTTCATTTAGAAGGTAACGGTCGTGCAGATTGTCATAGCTTGAATTTTTCAGTCTCCTGATAATGGGAGCAAGATCCTTGTCGCACTTGTAACCGCTGACAATTAACTGCGCTAAGTCTGGATTAATCTCTAGGGTATGCTCTATGGCATTCAACTGAATGTTAGGAGGATAGGATGACCCGCCTATTTCAGAATCACTGAACAGATCTGGACGGCGTGAAAGCGGGTCGGCAATGTTTTTCTTTCCTGGTTTGTGAAAGACCGTAAAGTCATAGTCAGCTAAAAACTCTACCCATCTTGCCTCACGCTTGGTGAGAGTCGGTTTGGTTCGTAAATAGACAACACCCATATTATCAGTCATCAGGTCAAAGTGGCGGAATAGATAGATTCTCCAGCACTTTAATGCAAATACCACAGCCAACGTTTCCCTCTCGGCCGCAGTATAGTTGCGTTCTGCAGCTGACAGTTTCCGACTACAATAGGCTACGGGATGCAAATCCATATCTTCTCCCTGCTGCAGGAGCACACCCGCCACGGCAAAGTCACTTGCGTCAGTTTCTACCGTGAAGTTTTTCTCAACATCGGCCAGTTGCAACACTGGCGCCTCGAGTAATGCTGATTTTAGAGACTCGAATGCCTTCTGTCTAGCAGCGCTCCATTCAAAGCGTGAATTTTTTCCGGTGATTTCTTCTAATGGACGAGAGATGGTCGAGTGTCGATCTATGAACCTTCGGAAATAGTTAGCAAAGCCAAGAAACTTCCTCACATCAGTTACTGACGACGGAGTTGGCCATGTTTCCACAGCACTTATCTTCTTGGGATCAGGGGAAATTGATGTGCCGTTGATTTTATGCCCCAAGAAGAGAACTTCTCTCACGCCGAATTCGCATTTAGACTGTTTACAATACAGCTCACTATTTCTAAGTGTTTCTAGAACTGTTTGAAGATGATGCTGATGATCTTCCCAGGTCTTGCTGAAAACTAGAATGTCATCCAAGAATACTACAACGAATTTTCGGAGATGCGGTTGCAGAATAGAGTTCATGAGTGACTGAAAGGTGGCCGGGGCATTAGTCAGCCCGAATCCCATGACTCTAAATTGGAAGTGGCCGAACGGCGTATTAATAGCCGTCTTAGAAACATCCGAGTCTTGAATTCTGATTTGATTGTACCCCGACCGCAAGTCCAACTTGGAGAAATATGCACTGCCCTGGATCGTGTCGAATAAGTCATCAATATTAGGAAGACAAGCTTTGTTTTTGATCGTAATTCTATTCAATTCTCGCCAATCGCACACCATTCTCAGAGTACCATCCGACTTTTTCACAAAAAACACAGGTGCACCGTATGGCGACTTACTTGGCTCAATGAATCCCTTCTCAAGTAATTCTGACAGCTGTGACTGGAGCTCGTCCATCTCTGGTTTCGGCAGGCGGTAGGCGGGTCGAGACGGTGGTCTGGCTCCATCTTCTATCTGGATTTCATGGTCGACTGGTCTCTTCGGTGGAAGCTCATTCGGCAGCTCGTCTGGAAATAAATCCTGGTACCTCTTGAGCAGGTTCTGGATGTCTTGTTGCTCTGATTCCTGGAGTTGTGGCCCGGAACGATTCTCCTCGTTTGCAGCAGTGACCCATGCAAGAAACCCCTCGGCTCCACTCCTCAGGGCATGACGAGCTTGTCGGCCACTGATAAACATGCTTTCCACAGATGGCCGGTCGGCTGTCGGCGGGTTAGCTGAAGGCAATTTGGCAACAAAGGGCTCACCGTCCAACTGAACTTCGTTCGTACGGAAGTTGATGCTGGGGTTGTTCCTTGTAAGCCACGGCTTGCCAAGAATAGCGTCGTAGCGAGTCAGGGGATACACAGTAAAGTGCTGTTCCTCACTGAAGCCCCCGACTGTCACCCTTAGCGTGCGTGTGGAAATCTGCGGGACCTCGCTGGTCGAGCCGTCCGCCAATGTTACGCTCAGCACTGCTGAGCTTGCATCCGTGTCAAGATGATGCTTTCGAACAAAACTGTCTGCAATGAAGTCATGCGTCGAACCGGAATCTATCAGCATCACTGCACGGCGACCGCCGATCTTTCCCTGTATGCGCAGTAGGTCGTGTTCAGGTTCATTGCCGACGCTGACGTTGCTGACATGACACCTTTCTGCAACGGGACAATTTCCTACAGCTATGGGTGTCTCCGGCTCCGTAGGTTCCTGGAGAGCAACGTCTTCAACCTCCAGAGCTCCGAACCGGTTAGCGACTGGTACCGGCGTGGGTGCTTGGGTCGTCGCCAGTAAGCGCACCCCCTTTCTTACTGGCGACCAGCGTTTGGGTAGCGCTGTCCACCCTCAGTACAGTCTTTAGCGAGGTGGCCTGGCTTCCTGCAAGCAAAGCAGTGTCCCATTGCTCGCAGTTGGACACGCTCTTGGTCCGTCAGCTTGCGGAGGCCCTGACCACGGAAGCTGGGCACGGAACGCGACTCTCTACTGGCTGGTGGCCCCGACGCCGGTGGCCCTGACGACTGCTCCACGGTGTTTGCTGCCATGACAGCTTGCTCCAGGGTACGTGGATGCTCACGCATGACCTGTCGCTGGATGTGCGGCACTAGACCCCTGACGAACAGCAGCGCTCTGGTGTGGTGGTCGATTTCCGGCACTTGCAGGCTGAGGCGAGTGAAAGCAGCAATGTATGCGTCCAGCGACCCGCGCTGCGCTGCGGAAATTAGTCCCATACGCGATGTTTCCTCGTTGTGCCGTGGTCCGTACACATCGCCAAGTGCCGCTTTCAGAGCAGGCCAGTCGGAAAACACTTGGTTAGCTTCCAATGCCGCTATCAACCAAAGACGAGCGTTTCCAGTCAAAAATCCTGCCGCGTAGTCGACCCTCTGTGCCGCATTTGGGAGTGCCAACGACCGTAGGGCCATGTCCATTGCAAACGTCCATTCTTTGAATGTAGCGGAATCTCCTCCAAACACAGGCGGCTCTTTCGTAAGGCGGGGTGTTGGCTCCCACGGTTCCGAGTTCGGATGTATCGTTCGGTTTCCTTGGCTAACGC